TTTTTACTACTTAAGGAGTATTCTCTGAAGTCATGCAGGTACAAACTTCTATTTTTTTTTCAAATTACAACCCCTCTTTTATACAGTAACTAAATTATTTATAAATATAAACTCTATATATATTATGGTTTAAATAAAAAATAAGCAAATTCTTGGAAAAAAAAAACTTTTACCACTTGGGTATTTGCGCTAAAGTTATCGATATTATTTTCTTTAGATACCTACGTTAAAGTTTAATTTTGAAAAATAAATTATTATAATATACATAATAATAAATATTATAAAAATAGATTTTTAATTTTAATATTCCAATCAAATTATAATATCTTATACAGTATAAATTATGTATATTATAGGAGGGGTGGCAAGCGATAAGAGAGTCGAAAGCCGCACAATATAATGACAAATAATATGATGAGCAGGAAAAGGAATTATACCTATTATAGATTTATACTATAGAAGACAAAATGTTAAGGTGCGAGCCACTAGAGTCTACAACGCGAGCTGTAGTTTGGCCACTCCTTCTGGCTGATATATATGGGTAGTGGGTACCTATATGTCTATGTCTGTTCAATATATAATGATCAGATATAACCCATCATTCATCAATCATAAGTAACTGGATCATGAAAATAAGTATGAGATAATTATTTGATCGATTGTATTATAGTATTATGACATTCCAAATTAACACCACTTTGACTACCTACCTGTCCTACCTGTTGCATTGTTAAGGAATTAAGTGAAAAAAAATGACAGGTATAATCATATAATTTGTAAACCATTGTAGTGATATTTCAGTTATTGCTCTTGAAGTAGGTACCAATTATACAAAACACCCACCTACAAGATGCTCAATTTTATTTTTTTTTAAAAAAAAGGTTTTATTTAGAAACGTCGAATTTAAACATTTTAAATGATTTTTTTTAGAATACGTTTTTATTTGTTGTCGTTATATGTTTTTTTTTTGTTTGTTATGTGTGAATGTTGTCATTTGTATATATAACTTACCAAAATACAGGACAAAATTATAGCAAATTTCCCTAATAGTAATATTTCCGATGTATTCTCACACTTCATGATAACAAAAAAAAAAAAAACTGTTAACGTTAAGTGTCGAGTGTAGGTACCTTGTCATTGATTAGGTCACTCTAATCCTAATGGGTGGGTTCATTAATTCATCATGTACGAAAAATGGTTCTAAGTGGGGACGGTCAGCCTGTATTTCTAAAAATATTTTATTATATAGGTACATATTTATGTATTGCTCATCTTTCTTCTATCACTTATTACTTATTACTATAGTTATTAATAACATGGTAGGTTGAACTAATTTTGGCAACAACATATCACAGATTGTAACATATTGATAGTTATAGAAATATTATTTCATTAAATATTAAACATCTACACCATTACTGTTATTATCGTATGTGGTATGTCAATACCAAAGTCGGTATCGCAGAACGGTATAAATATAAGTCCATGGTGTTAACACATAATATATTTAATCTATTATGTGGAATAAATAACTTAGGTACAATTAATTTAAATACATTGAACAATATGTAACTATGTATAGTAAATAATAAAATACGTAATGGTGAAAGTTTCAAGTCCCTTTGAATAATATTTTTTTTATAAACCTAACCTAACCTTAAGATTCCCAAGTTGTTCGGTTGCTGTAAGAATAACTTATGAGAAGGTGTTTTGTGCAGATGTTGTATTAAATATTTAAATGTTCAAGCCTCTACTTTTAGGATAGGCAATGCCTAATCAAGATTTAAGATTGAATTAACTCACATTTAGTTTATTAGTTATTATATACTTATTACTGTAGGGCCCAGATTTTATGCAAATACGTATACTTCTACAATTCGCCTAGAATAATTTTTATTGAAAATGCCGAAGTTTCGTAATGAGTATAGTCTACCTAACCTACTTCTTCATATTTGCATAAATGATAAAAGTTGCATATTTTATAAAAAGTAAATCAATTTGTTTTTTTAAAGCTATTTTGAATTTTGAGCACTGATTACCTGAAGATTTCTTTTGAAAATCTTAGTTGAAATTTTGAAACTTCCTGTTGGTATTTGTTCCAAAACTAATAATAGGTATAAAGTATTGATGGTAATATAGTTAGTTGGTAATTTTTATTTCTATAATTATTTCTTTTACCGTCGTATATTGTGTAATCGTTTTTTGGATGTTTAGTGTTTCTTAACGAGTAATAAAGAATTTTATTTAGCATTAAAATCAGGGCCCTATTTTTTAGCAGGTATTTTGAATTGTGGTCCTGGCCGATACCTAGGCGGTATAAAATACAAATATTTGATAACCAATCACCTATGCAGTCTGTACTACGAACACGTTATACAACTCACTTACGGACTGAAAAGTGAAAAGTGAAAAGTGAAAATGCCGTTGCACCTGTTTAGCCGTTAACAAGTTTAGAACAGATGTACGTCACGAGTAACGACGGACGAGTACGACGACTACCTAGGCCAATGATAAGGATATAAGATTATTGCATATTGTGCTACAAAATATATTAAATTCAATCTGTTCTGTGATTGCTCACTTGTTAGAATTTCACGAAATCCCCTAAATCACTACATGAACGAATGTGTATTTTCATCTTGTCATTAAACAATATTATTGTGAACCTATTCTTTATACAAGACCTATGATCACCTCCCGATTGTTAACATTATATTTTTTTTTGTCCGATGTAATAAGGCTTGTCACGCGTGTAGTTGATTGTTGATAGGTACATAAATCATAATCATTATTAGTGTAAGTCCTACATTAGAAGTGGGTAAACAATCAAATATACTCTCTAGACGTGTAACAACTTGTCAATATTTACTTTAATATTTTGCGTTATTATTTTTAGTTTAATAAAAAGTACAATATAGTGATGTGCAATAACGATACCTAATAACAAGTATACCTACCTAAATATAAAAGTTAAAAATGTTTTTCTTCAAATTTATTAAAATATAATAATGTAATAAATATATTTCAAATAGTGTCAACAGTGATTGTAACTTGAAAGTTGTAACATGGTGATTGTGTAAATAGCAAAAGTATACGATAATAATAATGTTATATTATGTGTGAATACAAAATAATGGAACGGCAATGACGTCAAAATGATAAGAATTTGATAAATATTGTGATGTTGATTGTGAGTTATGACACGGACCTTATTGTTTTCAAAATCGTTAACTGGTTAGGACTGTTGGGAAGTAATACATTTTTTTGTTGAAATTACTTCCTTTTATAGTTGCCATTGTAGACCTTGAATAGTGTTTAATTGTTTTTTATTACTAATTATCTGTTATCGTATTGGCTATTTTGGCCCATCACACAGGGGATTGCTACAGTGTTCAAACAATGGTGGACCGATTAGGTGAGTAATATTCTATTTCTTCTCTTATTATGAAATCCTTAAATTTGTGTGTAAATAAATATTTTCATTTTTTAGTAAATAGTGAGGCAAATGCCCGTCGCATTACTATGGTCGAAAGTTGTTTTGGTAGCTCAGGACAAGTAAGTGAAATTCGTACTTCCTACTGAGTGTTTGATGAAAAAATGACATTCTGTGAATAATTGTACACATTCTTGGACATGGTATTATATTTTGTTGATACATGCCTTCATTTATTATTGCAGCCTCTAGCTGTTCCTGGGCGTGTATTAGTTGGTGAAGGTGTTCTGACAAAAATTTGCCGAAAAAAACCAAAACCTAGACAATTCTTTTTGTTCAACGACATTCTAGTATATGGAAATATACTTATAAACAAAAAAAAAGTAAATATTGTTTACATCATTGTAATTACTTACTAAAGTGTATAAATTTGTTTTAGTATAACAAACAGCATGTTATACCATTAGAAGAAGTAAAATTGGAATCTTTACAAGATGAAGGGCGTAAGTTATGATTACAATTACTAAGTGCTACCTAACTAGCGATCACCATTTTATGTATCATATATCTATCTTAATGTTAAGAACTAAGAAATGGTTGGTTCATTCGAACTGCGTCCAAGTCATTTGCTGTATATGCAGCCACTTCAACAGAAAAACAAGAATGGATGGCACACATTAATAAATGTATTGAAGATTTGTTAAGAAAGAGTGGTAAAAAAGCTGTTGAAGTCCATGCTGCGGTTTGGGTTCCAGATTCTGAAGCCAATGTTTGCATGCATTGTAAAAAGACTCAATTCACAGTCCTCAATCGAAGAGTAACTATATAATAATTTTTTTGTATTATAAACTTTTTTAAATTCTAATTTCTCTGTCGGTTTCAGCATCATTGTCGTAGCTGTGGTACTGTAGTGTGCGGTCCATGTTCTAGTAAACGATTTTTGTTACCAAATCAATCGACTAAACAATTGCGTGTCTGCCTAAATTGTTTTGATAAACTATCTCGAGATAAAGCACAACAAAACAGTACTAACCTCAACTATCTCAGAAACTGTATGTTTGTATTATAATCTAAACTATTGAAAATCTTTTTATCTCAATGATATTGATTCTAATTTATAGCCTTAAAAGATCGCAGTGAATCTTCTGGTGACGATGATTCTGATGACGATGATAATTTTGTTCCATCAACTACAACACCAGAGCAGGTATGAACTTGATAAAACTAATATTTTTTCACTTACTTATAAGTACTTGTTTAATTTACAGCCGAAGTTTTACTGATTTTACCATCTACATGAATACTTTCTTTGTTTTACTAACATTTTCTATGAAGTTTGTTATTCGTGGAATAATCTGATTTGACATGAGTTTAATCATAATTGTTTATATTTGTCTAGTAAAATCATATTGTACTATTTAATTTTATCAAATAATGCAAATTGAATTCATAGATCTATTATTTTATTTAATGTGTAAAATCCGAATTATGTATTTGTGATACCTTGTTAATAATATTGTTAAGTTGTTCTTATCAATATTAAGTTATTCAATGTCTTGTTAATATTAAATATTAGTCTATTATATTTATTTACAATCAAAGTATTTTTTTCTGATATTAATTTATTTTTACAATGAAAAAGGCCAAATAATATTATTCATTTGGGTCATTAATGTTTAAGAATTTATACATAAGTCAATTTTTAATATTTGAATGGGATGGATTTATTTTTATTACATTATAATTATAACTATTAATTAATATCACTTTTTCTAACTTGTATTTATGTATTTTTTCTGTAATTTAACCACCCGCTGTTATTAAAAAGAAAACCTGAAGAATTCAATAATCACAATAGTACAGTTAGTGTTACCATTTAAAATATTATTTTTACTATTAATAGTATGTAACATATAACTAGCATTATTTCAAATATAAAACAATATAATAGGTATTATTATTTGGTTTTAAACAACAACAAAATTGTATTAACAAATAGCATACTAATTTAAAACATAAGTTTAAATATAATCGCAGTCACTTCCTTGTTGATTTTTTGTTGATGTTTATTGTTGAGCACCATGTGAATTAAACGTGATTCCTGTGCTTGTGTTAATGGTACATTGAGTTCAATAGAGTGTTTCATAATTTCTTTGCATTGGCGAACATTTCCCAAAGTGTCTAAAATATAAATAAAAAATTATATATTTTTTTAAAATCAATACTGACTGAATAATCATATTATTTAAATAAAAATTGTTCAAATACTACTTTGATACTATTATAATATACTTGTACAAATATGTATAATTATTAATCATTTTTTTTTTTTTTTTTTATAAACATTTATTTGTTTTTAACAATAAAATATTTTTGAATTAAATTGTTGTTATTTTATATGATACAAACAAAAATCTTTATGTAAGATTACCATAAATATGGTAACCAAACTTTAAACTAAAAAACACAACATACTTCTCTAGTAAAAATATAAGTACATTTAATATGTTACTCTTATTTATTTTTATGTCTACATGAACTTTATTTGTTTATCAAAATGAAAATAGAAAATCAACTTATATTCCATTCATTTGTACATTAAATAGTGATTTTGTATTTCTAACAAATATCATTGTCAATCATACATTGCTAATTCATTGCGTGATATTACATTCTCCTGACATAGTTATAATGAGCTAATTATTTTAAGTTATAGTTGATGACTCATTGGCATTACACTGTAATCATTTATAGTCAGTATAATTAAAGTAATTTTAACAAACCAACACATAAAAGGCCTGAATATATATTCATATTACCTACATTAAACTTAATAGGTTGGAGCGGAAATAAGCAATGAAAAGTATATATTTCATCAATGAGCCTATAAATAGTCTTTATTTTAAAAAGAATATAACATTTATTATTTATGAATTTAGTCTATTTTTATCAATAACCAACACTATTTAGAATTAGATACTTATTTGATTTTTATTACTAGTGGTATGAATATATTAGAACTATACATTAAAGGTGTATTTTTTAAGCTAGTAAACTAGGCAACCTAGTGAAAATACTTTGTCACCTAGTTTACTGTTGGGCGACACCAATTTGTAAATGAAGGCATTTTATACTAGGTACCTATGAAAAAAAAATTGAGTAATGAATATAAATGTTATAACATTTTCTTGAAATCACCTCCTATTTTGAACAAATTATAACTCATTTTTACTAACTTTTACCATTCACTTCTACTTTCTACCGTTAATATTTATTTTTAATAATTATGAAGGGCGACCATGATAATAGTTATAATAGTTCTATCATTCTATAATTTAATATTTATTTTGAGAATATATTTTTTGTCACCCAGTGAAAATTCCTTAAAAAATGTACTGTACATTATAGTAGGTTACATTTAATATTCAAGTTTAAACTGTTTTTGGTAGATACATGGCTGGAAGTAAGTCAGTCACTGTTTTGAAACTGACCCGCCTTTAGTCACTTGTTATCCAAACAAATTTTTTTTATCAACTAACTTCAAGATTAAGACTAACTATTACACGCCAACAATTAAGATAGATAAAGTCCAATTTAGTAATTAAATTATAAATTGACAATTAATTAATATAGTCGCTAGGCTGTGTAGTTTAAATCAGAAGTTTTCAAATGTGGACTGACCGATCTTATAGCAAAATTCAGATAAGATTTCTGAAATATTATCGCATTAAGAGGTCGATTGGTAGGGTGCACAAAAAGAACATTCCTACAAAATAGTTTACCGTTCACCAAGGAGGTGACTCATACATGCGCGTGAGCGAGCTTTAAGCTATTTCGTGTACATACATACATACACACACACACACACACACACACAAATGATCACTTTACAAGACCCGCATGCAGGCATTTTGAAAATTGTCTATTTCAAACTCCTTAAAAACTGTCCACCACTAAACCCCTCGCAATAACATTATAATGGCTTAATGCCCACGGGGAGTTTGTTGTGAGTTAATTAAGAAGGAAGGTGAGAAGGGAGAGTAAGAGAGTTTAATAGAGTTTGTATTTCGGATAGGAAGCTGGAGTGCTGGACAATTGTCTCGGAAAATATATTATTAGATGGTTGAGCTACAGTTATTTTGGCTCATGATGCGAGTGCATTGGGTTTGGTGACCTGAAGTCAAATTTAAATTATTTGTTAGTAATTGTTCCATATTAATATCATATTATTTTGTTGCAGTCAAATTTAAAAATTTAAAAAGTTAAAATTTTATTTTGTCAAAAAAAAAAAACATTTTGTGGCTATGTTAGCCACAGTCATTATTTCATCAATATTATTTTGAAATTTCCCACTGGTTTGTATTATTAACAATTGGATGTAATTTACATAGGTTTTTTTTTTTTAAATAATTTTAACCACTTCCAGCCCCGTTGATGACAAAAATCATTTATTCAATAATGTGTAGGCATAATTCTAATAAAAATATGTAGGTAATTAATTTTAAAAAATAGCTAATAACTACAAATAAAATGTACTCACAATAATACTCAAACAGAGACCTTAAGATCCATTGATAAGGTTCCATTCGTTTATGTTTTAATAATATTATCATTATCCTTTGAACACAATTGATTTTATGGGCTTTTAACATTTTTTTTGTAAGGGCTGGTGTAAGGTATTGTATATTTTCTATTAATTTAGTATTTTGTCTTATTAATTTTTCAGCTTCTAGGTTATCATTATATAATTCACTTAAAAATAAATACTTCCACAGGATGCACATTGGATGATAATCTCCATATTTGACAACTATCGAATTTACAAATTTTGAAACCATGACTACTGATGCAACTCCATGTGATTTGACAATAGTATGAATGATAGGGTCTAAAACGTAATTCACTTTTGTCGACTCTATAGAGTAGAATGTCTCAAAAATTTTAAACATGCTATACAAATTTCCATTTGCCCAATAAGCTTCTGCAAAATTCATTTGTAATTCAGATTTCTTAATACAATTACCATACTTTTCATTGATTCTTTCAATTAAGACTAATCCATTAATTTTGCCATGTCTTGCCATTGTTAATCTGAATTGATTAAGTGCACTTTCACTGACTTGAGAGTACCCATCAAGGCATTGCTGTAGATATGTGGTCAGATGGTCTGGATCATCACAGAGTTCAAACATAGAATCTGATTTGACTTTTGGCAGCCTATTATTTGTAGTGACAAAATTGTCTGTTTTCCATTTCATCATATTTTCTAGAATGAGACTATTAGTAAAAGCGTCCATGGCATCATGGTGGTAGTTGCAAATTGGTTTTTCTGATTTGTGTGCATTGCCTTTCACAGAAAATGTGTTTTTGTTTGAAGCCAAATTTAAATATACTAAGCTTTTTGATGTCTCACACTTAGAACAAATATTAAAAAGTAGCATATTACGCATTCTAAACATCTAACCGACTTACAAAGTACCTAAGTAGGTACTTCAAAAATTCTTAAAACACATAATTATGTTCAGTTTTCAAAAAAAAAATAATGTAATAACAAATTAACATACGAGAATTGTATCTAACAAGTAACGACAACTATAATATAACAAGTAACGACATTGAAGGAATTCTAAAAATTATTGTCTTTCAATAATTATTTACAAATTACATTAAATTGGGTAACTACTTTATTTTCAAAGTTGAAAGTATCAGATGTGATAACATTGTTATCAATCACTATGTATCACAGAATATCTGTGATTGTAGTTTTGGCAGTTGTGATACCGTTGTTGAACACAGAATAATTGAATCACAGAATAGATTAAATGATTCTGTGCTTGATTGTTGTTTAAGTATTTAAGTATTTAAGTATTAGCTATTAAGAGGTACTTATTTACTATTTAAGACTTACTACTTAGGTATTGTATTTGAGATTGTAAAGTTATAACTTGATCTTGAATTGGTATTCTGTTGCCACTTGTAAACTGTAATTTATTGATATTTTGTTGTTATGTACATTTATTTTACAATATTTAGACTTAAGTAGTGTATACAGTGTTTCGTTGTAACGTACAAAACAATTTCACAATGGATACTCTGGCTGAGATCAAACGAAAAATAGACTCTGGAAGTACAATTTCAGTAACTGCTGTAAATATACCTCTATAATCATTGTTTATTAGACTTGAATAACTATATAACACAAATTTAATTCATTTTTAGGCAACGGACAATCTAGTTAATGTGATTAAGACTAAAATCAAAGGAAACCGTTCTGACATGACAAATGTAATTATTCTTTTTTATTTTATTTCTTGTTCTATTCTCTGTAATATACCAATCTTAATTTTACATGCATGTACATAGTACTGTTATTTACGTCTTATTCATGTCTCATTGTATGCATAAATGCCATGATTACAGATAAAACTTTTCATGACTAGTTACTTAAGAGTGATACCCAGATATACAGTTGATTTTTGGCAACTAGGAAATTTTAAGGGATAAACAATTTAGTTACTAAAATTTTCAAATTCAAACCAATTAAATGTTATGTACTTTTTTATATTCAAGTTATTTAGGTTGTTACCGAGTGTTGATTGTATTTTATACACTTGAGATTTTCACCTAAGATTTCACTTATTTAACTTTATTGTAGATTCCTGAAATGTTACTCCTTCAAGAGTATTGTTGTCATCAAAATCCAATCATCAGTACTACTGCATTAAGGGCTTTGTGTACATTTATGACGTCTAATAACTATCAAAACCAGTTGTTAATTGACTGGTTAGTCGTCCTAAATCCTCAAATTAAATGTAGAACTGGATTTATACAAGAAATATTTGAACTTATAATTTTTGGGTTGAAAAATAAAGAAAATACTAATAGTTATAACATTAACACTCTGGTCGATGTTCTTATAAAAATAATGGATGAAAGTATCGAAGAATGGCATGTAATTTTATATCATATGGAAATCAGTACAAATTTTGATGATCATGAGTAATAAATTATTTTAATTTAACTAAGTACTTATTTGATTGTAATTAATATTATACCTACATTTTTAATTATTGTTTTAGGTTTATTACAGGCTGGTTGAATGTCACAAAACGATTATTTAAATTCATTTTTTTGTCTCAGACATCATCTAATCATCGTACTTCGTTTGTCAGACTATTTGTTCAAATACTTAACTGTGCATCTGATTATGATTTATTATTTGAAATTTATTCTTGGCTACAGGTAAAATATATATCAACACTGTGAAATTATTATTTTATGTACTATAATATTTTTATTACAATTTGATTATTATTTATTACAGGTTGATAATCTAGATGACATTCTGTTTTTAAACAATTTTTTAGGAGAATTTTGTGACACAATCCCTGATACACTACATGAAACAAAATATAATTTATGTTTGTGTGTAATTCAAACATCAATTCAACTTATTTCACACGGATTCAACCCAACTTCCGCGTTCCAACGCTTGAATAGTCTTTTGATATTATGTCCTTGCACATCTGATATTTTATTGCTATGTTGTTCCAGAATTCTAAGCTTATGCCCGTCAAAATTTTTACTCAAAACTATTGATTTCTGTAATATACATTCTTTTTACTTTCCTCTTTAATTTTTATTTTACTTAAAATTTTGTTTTTTTTAAGGCTTGAATGTTGTTAAAAAATATGGGTGCCATAAAATAATTGCTCAGGCTGTCGTAGCAAGTATCTTACAATGGAATCGTACAAAATTAATCGATGATGACCAAATTATAGTAATTTTCTCAACTTTTAATTCTGATAGTAAGATTTTATTTTACATTTTATAAAAATGTGTACAACTTATTTAACTACATTTTTTTGTAGTTGCTGTATCCAGGGCATGTGCTAAAAGTCATAAATTATTTCCATTTTTATCAAGCGATTCATTTTTAATTACTTCATACTCACTGATTAAGTAAGACACTTTACTTGCAAATTTGTGTACATTTGTTGAATGTATTTTAGAAAATAAAGGATAAAAAAATGCAACAATCAATTATTTCGATTTTTCAGACTGTGTCCAGAATTTAATAACAAACAATTTACCTCAAAATGGTTGTCTGAGATTAATCATACCAGTGAGTTATTAAACGATACTCAGTTTAATTTTTATTTGGTAGGTCTCTACTTAAGTAAAATCTGTGATCGCTCTCAACAACAAACTGTATTAAAGTTATTGAATAAACAGTATTTGATGCCATTAATTTCATATGCTGTGGATCTAGAAACAAGTCATTATGGTAGATTTGATTTAATGAAAGTCATACCTACTGCAGCTTGTATACCGGTAAGTTTATAATTTTTGTGTTAAGTTTCTACTTTCAAATTACCATTGCCTAAAAACTTAATTTTAATTGACTTTAAACATTTTAACAATTTTAGTTATTTTATGAGTGGTTAAAAAAAAATTTGAATATAATAAGCATTAAGTATAACAATGTTGATTAGTTGTTCATTTTAGTGGTTGAAAATGTTTTTTTTTATTACATATATACATTTTTATTTCATTTTTAACTATTAATTATTTTATTGTAGTAAATATTCATTTAAATTTAAATTTAAAAAATTTATTTATTTGTATGTAAATGTTTTCTTTATAAAAGTGTTCTTTGTTGACATTGTGTAAAGTGTCTTTTTAACCTTACACTTATAGTTTTATTATTTTTGTTTTTTGTAGGAAAACATTTCATTAGTAATTAGTTTTGTAAAACGTTTTGAAAATAGCAACGATGAAACATTGAATAATCTAAGCATCGATATGTATTATGACTTATGGATAACAGAAGTTAGATGTTACAGATTTTTATTGTATTGTTTATCAAAAGATAAACCAGGATGGCAGTGGAATGTTGTTAAGTCATATACTATTAGAAAAATGGTCAAATCAAAGTAAAGAATAAACACTATAAATAAGCAAAGATATTTACTGTAAAAATTATATTTTATTCATTATAGTCCTAATTCAGATTTGGTATCTGTTTTGAAACAAATGCTTGGATTTTACATAAAAAACTCAATGTACTTGCCACTGAAATTGACTTTAGAATCTTTAGTAGATTTGTGTCTTGCTGAGTATATGAATCCAGAATCTCTTTTAAAAATGATTGATAAAACTATTTTAGACATTCACCATCCTTCTGTTATATCGAGGTATGCATTTTTATTTATTTGAGTAAAATTTTATTTAAACACATGATGTTTATTTTTTTTTTTTTTTGTACAGCTTTTGTAATTTATTAATGGTGTCATGTAACCAAACAACGGAAAATGAAAAACGCAATGAATTTTACCAAAATTTATGGTCTTTGGTATTAAACTCCAATGATAATACTGTTAAATGCGCTCTCAAGTAAGTTTAAGTCTCTCAAGAGGACATGGCACCCGCATGTGAAGTCTCCGTTCTACAAGTGAGTAACATAGCAAATTGTAACCTCAGCAGATCACGTTTAGCTCTATTAGTTTAAAAATTCGAGTGAATTCACCTCTTATAACATTTGAAGGCAAGGTTATTATCTAGGACATCTTATAGGCTTTTTATTATATTTTAATTTCAAAGCAAGTTATGAGTGTTTTAAAATTGTAAGTTGTTTGTACATCTTAAAATACTCAACTTTTTTAAATTAAAACATTATGAAAATCCAAAAGATGCCCTGCTATTAATTTTAACTTTAAATTTTATAAGAAGTCAATTCATTCTAATTTTTAAACCAACAGAGCTAAAAGTGATCTGTTGAGTGTACAATTTGCTATGTTACGCACTTGTAAAACAAAGACAACACATGCAGGTGCCACGTCCTCTTAAACTTTTATAAAATCTTAATTTAAATGTTATAGGGCTTTATCCAACACAGATTTAGAAACCATGCCTCTCAATGTTTTACCTAAAACATTTCAAAGCTATCCAAGAATTGGAACACAGTTGGAGGATTCAGAAAGATTAGATTTATTTAATGGGCCTATACCTGGTGACAGTTTTACTACTTTTTCATCAGTCATTCAATCAATTTTTTTTCTTTTTTCATGAATAAAATGTTTTGTTATTATAGGAGAGTGTTGGGTGAAATTTCTTCAAAGTATTAACAAAACATTTATCAATGAAGCCCAAATTATGTTATCAGTCTGGCTTGCACGAGAGTTGGAAAAAAATGTCATAATACGAGTCCAATCAGACCGTTAGTATTTTAATAGACTATTGTTATTTGGTATGCTGCTTATTAAATGTTTATTTTCAGATGAACCAAAACATTTAAAACATCTTCCCGACCATAGCATTGCCCGAGGATTAATGTCATTTATTGTGCCAAAACGAAAACAAATGTTGGATGTTGATGAAGATGCCAAAGTGGCTTGTTTAGCTGTTATTAATGGCGCTGATAAACCAATGTATCCATTTGATTGGGGTTTCTTAGAAAAATATGTGACTGAAGGGCCCAATAGTAAACTTTGGAAAGAGTCAGTTATATTAATTGCAAAGCAATCAACCAAATCTACTTCAGCATTTCGACTTCTATACAAATGCTATGATCACCACTCAAATTTTGATGTACAATTCAGGCTCTTGAATTTTTTTTTGGTTTTTTTTTCTTATCAATCATATCAAATTTTTTTTTCTAGATTAATCAAATTAAATTACTGATTACAATATTGTATAAAGTTTCCAATATTATTTTCCATGATCTACAAAAGCAATTTGTGACGAATGTAGTTAATGGAATTTTAAATAACATACATAAAACATATTCTAACAGCAATTTAGGTATAGCTCTATTACAATTTTATTATTAAATAATCAATGTTTTCTCTTTTTATGCATGTTTATAGTATTTTACATATTTTTTAGATGTTGACTTGTTATGTCATATTTTATCAGAATTTAAACAAATATTACAAAGTCCCCAAACAAATATGGAAAATGTACACTTCATTTGCAATATTTTACAAAATATATGGTGTACAATCAATTTGGAAAATAAGGTTTGTCTGTATATTCTCAAAATTAGATCCAAAATATTTATTTTGATTTATTCTAGGAAATACTTTATAAATTCCTTGGCTGCTGCTTAACCATGCCAACTGAAATGCTGAAAAACTTAAGACCATATCCAGTTCAAGAATCAATGCTACCAAAGTTTATAATTCTCTGCTGTGCACAGAATTTTATTTCTAGTAACATATCCTTTGATCCACTGAATGAATGTATTCAATCATGCAATCAATTTTTCAAGTAAAGTAGTTTCATTGCAGTCAAGATAGACCTACTTTAAGATTCTACATTTTTTTTTAGGAATTACTCATTTCTGTATGATACTGTTATTGATGTCTTTAAACTCGAGATGTTTATTCCATACCAACATGAGTTTATAGCTAATTTCATGATTTATCTAACCAGTTTCACAAAGAAAACAAATACCTTCGCAAATGTTAGTATTGTTAATTTATTATAAATGTTTTATTTATCATTATTTTTGTGGAGTACATATATTTTGTATATATTAAATTAAATCAAAATATCTTATTTAAATGTTTATTTCAGGATTTATTAGATGTATTATGTTCAGTTTTCATTAATCTCATAAGCACATTATCAGGATATGACAGCGTAAGTTTCAAAAATGTCAGGAAACTAAATTGTTCAGTTTTTCCTGTAGCTTTAGCAACATATTCTAAAAATACATCACAGGTAAGAATGCTATTTTAAGTTTGTTTTTCTTTGTTAAAATTATTATTTTATAGTCTTCTAGGATTATTGAATGGCTTAAAACTATGATAACTATTTCATCTTTGCCAGAAAAATATTCTAAATTGTTCTACTGCTGTTTAGCTGCATTTAAAAATGACAAATGTTTATTAGTATGGACGAACAGAAAAAAAATCATATTACACTGACCATCGTTCTAAAGACTAAAGGTAATTTCAATATTAATTTAATGTCCGTCTGTTGTACCATTCATACTTGCTGTATTATTTGACTTGTAACCATTTGGATTCATGGTTTGCCATTTCCAAAAGTCTCTGCCTAAAATGTTTAATATGTATAATTTATGTAAATATGTTATTTATAATTTACAATATTAACTTACACATATCTTCTAAGGTATATTTAGCTGTCCAACCGAGATCAACTTTTGCAAAATCACAATTGGCATACATTGATTCTATGTCACCATAGCGGCGTGCTTCAATTTTGTATGGTATTTTGACACCTGTTACTTTTTCAAAGGTTTTTACAAAATCCAATACAGAAGTTCCTTGTCCACTTCCTAAGTTATAAACCTAAGATCATTATTAAAATTAACATTTAATTATGATAAATGTATTTCAATAAATTATATATTTTTATTTTAATCTACAATAATGATGCTATTATTATGAACTTATACCTAATTATTTTTCCTTGTGTTAAAATATCAAATTTTTAAATAAAACATGAATTATTTTATCTAATAATTTGATAATATAAAATAATTTTAAAATTCATAATATTACGTAAACATCTAACTTATTGACATTTATAAAGGCACTTTCTTATGGTGTACCATGGAGATTTGTATATATCAAATATAAAATCAAATAGGTACTAGGTAGTGAGAATGTTATATAAAAAATACCATAGTTATAGTCACCTGTAAATGCGCATGCTTTGATTGTAATTTTTTTAAAGCTGCCACATGCCCTTCGGCCAAGTCCATCACATGAACATAATCTCTTATGCCTGCGAACAAAGAAATTTTTGAAAAAATAATAATTGTGTTCACTGTTAATTATTGAAATGATGTATACCGGTGCCGTCGGGGGTTGCATAATCTCCACCGTAGATTGACAACTCAGGCTTTTTCCCCAACGCCACTTGCGCTATGTACGGCATTAAGTTTGAAAAGTTGGTCGTTGGGTCTTCTCCGATCAATCCCGATGAATGAGCTCCTACCGGATTGAAGTACCTCAGGCTCACGATGTTCCACTTCTTTTTTTACAAAACAAAAAATTACATTTCATCGAGAATGGAAAATGAACAAAGCGCTGACTAGTGGTGTAGTTAATACAATTTATAAGAAAATAGCTATTGTTATAATTTGGTCTGTATGTATTTACTTGTTCGGAGTTTACGACGTCCCTGAGTATCTCTTCGATAAAATATTTCGTGCGGCCATACACATTGGTGACATTGCCGATTGGGTGACTTTCAGTTATGGGCAAAGATGATGGGTTCCCGTAAACGGTACACGAGCTGGAGAACACTAACTGGTAACATCCGTGAGAGGCCATCACTTCCAAAAGATTCATGGCGCCTATTATGTTATTCTTGTAATACATGAGAGGTTGTTTCATCGATTCGCCGACCGATTTCACTGCAGCAAAGTGTATAACACAGTCGAACGTATGCTATAACATCAGTTCATAACAATCACATTATAACCATGGTGTAAATGTGAAATAACAATGACATCATATAGGTAGGTATTTTGCCAGTTTTCGTTTAATGTTATTAAATCCGGAAGGGCTTGGAACTCTGTGCACTAAATGCTAATAGACATAGAGTAGGTACCTCATATACTTTGACAGTTCCAGATTAACCTACAAGCACATTAAGCATTAAGCACTGCCTTAGGCCCTCGCAAAACTTCGATCCTTAGAATTTTTTTTTGTATTGAGAAAATTTTAAAATCTGTAGATTTGCACACTAAGCAAGTTTAATCCTAAGTGATATTTTATCCAACCTTAGACCTTAGGTATTTAAATTAAAAATGTTTTTAGTTTTAAATAGGTACAAATTATTCCCTATGATCCTATAGGTCATAGGATATAGGTACCTATACTAATTCACATATTAATTTGAGAATTTTGGAGATTTGAATACCAATGAAATAAAAAAAAGCTCTAATGAAATTTTAATAACGATAGTTCCAGCAAAACTAAAACCATTTTTTTTTTTGAATTTCAAGTCATGAGTTATTGTGTGATAAGGAATAATATATGCCACCTTTTTTTTTTAAATAACTAAAAGATACTATAATTAAATCGTTTTTCAAATTACCTGATTTTCAAGAAAAACAGCAAGATATATACAATAGTGAACACTCTTTTCTTACAAAATCTTTACCATTCTTGTGTAAATGGTAAATCACGCTCAGTTCAAAAATATCGTTGTTCAAATGCAATTATGGGTAAGTACTGATCTAAAGCTTTAAATGTTTTCAAACATACCTACATTTCTATACATTTTAATACAGCTCACATAATTTCAGTTTAATTTTTTTTCTTAACTATATTTTGTTAATCCTATGATGTCCTCATTAAGTTTCTATTTTTGTATTGATATTTAAACAAAGTTGGCGTCTACATGAAATTAAGTCAGTGGCACGCCTATAGGTATTGCCTACCTATATAATATTTTAAACGCCCAAAATAATAATGATAACGTATAATGTAGTAGAATTATTGTACTTTGTCGAAAATGCCGTCCAGCTGCTTGATGTCCAACAGGTCGCACTTGTAAAAAGTGATCTCCTTGCCGGTGATGCGCCGCACTCGATCTAGGCTGGCGGCGGCCTGCTCCTTGCCGACGCTGTTTGCGAAGTTGTCGATGGCCACCACGTCGTAGCCGGCTTCCAGCAGCGACAGTACGCAATGGCTGCCGATGTATCCTGCGCCGCCTGTGACGAAAACCTTCTTGATTTCCGCCATGGTATCTATATGTTCTACCTATAAATCGTGTGCTTGCAGCGTCCTCGCCGGAAGATTTAGCGGATTTTCGTGGTATGGCCCGGTGAACGGTTATCACGCGAATATCACACTGCTGACATATATAATAATTCGTCTTAAACTCGTGCGATGAGCACGTTTGATGTGATTATTTCTGTTTCCGATCGGACGATCGAGAGAGGAGAGAGCGACCTGCTTCACGCACGCCGCACTATAAAGTGACGTATATGTGTGGCTACCTATACACCGCACACGTCGGTAGGTACCAATATGTAATTTGAACGCCGGATAGTATCGTCCTTGGCCTTGGACTCGTACGGCCGACGAAGAAGATCCGAACCGCAGTGGGGACACGATTTATAATAATGTAGGTATAATTTAATATACAGAGTGGTTCTTTTATCAACAACTACTGTCAGCCATTCCATATCCGTGAACATAAAATGGTTCGAAACATTTTGTGTTATACCTAGGTAATATTAACTTTGTTAGAAATCAAGTTACAAAAAAAAAATATTCATAAAAACACACGGAGTCAGCAATAAATGAATGTCTGATTCTTGAAAGAAGTACTATTCGATGTATAACGAGTAGGTTACGCGTTTGTAAGTAGATAGGTTTGTATGGTAGGTATTATAAATGGTATATAACAGTTACCAGCTACGTATGTAGTATGACGATTGACGATTTATATGTCGAGCCTGTAACTGGTTTCCAATTTACGCCACGCGATAATTGCATATTTATTATACCTATACATGCGCTGCGTGCCATTTGTTATGTATTATAATATTATAATATAATGTAAACATGTAATTATGTTAATAACCATTATGCTCTTTGGAAATTATATTAGAACTTCGATGAAATGTTCAACACAACTACATTTGTACTTATATCGGTAGGTATAATGTTTCCCATCTACGTTGTCTTCCAACTTGTCTTGTTGGCTGTTACGTCGGTAGCTCGGTGCAGTCAAAATTTGTGTTTTTTTTATATATATTACAATATGCTGTTGTGTCCAGTGTTCAGTGATATTATGTGATTTTTTTTTTTAAAACGTATACTTATAATATATTTATAGTTATATCAGAATATTGCTTTTTACGAATAACATTTAGAAATTAATAATATAACTATACATGTTCCAACAAAATTTATTAAAACTACGACGATGTCTGATGGTCACTATAATATAATATACTATATTTATACTATACTTAGGTACTACTCGATTATGTAATATTCAGTATAGTTATAAAACAATATTATACCTTTTTTTTCGGTTTAACTAGCTGCAGAGGAGGCTCTGAACGAGCAATACTACACTTATATGTATATAGGTAGTACCTATACTACGTTTTAAATTATTTATTAAGAGGATGTCAGCGCACTTTTTGTATTCTATCTCTGAACAATATACTTTTATCTATGAATTAATACACCTGCAACTTGTATAAAATATTAGTAGGTATCTACGTTCTATCTAATATAATATATTATATCAGTAAATGATAAACCTATGCGTTTACAACCTTTATATCTAAAATCAAATCTCCGAGAAACATACATGATATTAGATCCCTTTCTTTTGTTCAAACCTGGGAGTAGATACTATTGGTAGTTAGAAGTACCTAACCTACGGCGATGTAAATAAAGTTCGTCATGTTAAAATTATAGGACAACCACTTAGTTCCCATATTATTATTGCCTGAAGACTGTGCATGTAAATGACTGTATCACCATTCACCTCATAGTGATATCGATGTGAAACACGTGAAAATGAGACAGAATTACTGTAATAACACGTATGGTTCACACGATGGAATTCATTAAAGCACATACCTACCCTCATCCCGCATCGCTATTTAATTATGCTTATAAATGTAATAAATGGGTTTACGATTTCATGATGAATTTCACATTTTACAGCTCAGAGGATTTGACATTTTTAAAACCTACCTATCCACAATACACATCATCATTTATTTTAAATTAAGAGAATCTCGATTCTCGATACGGATGAGTTGCATCTAGATAACGTAAAAATATTGAACATTATACTGGTTAAAAATGGTTTACCGAGGAATACATTTACAACATTTGCTTTTTTGATGTTGATTATTTTATTAGATTTTCTATAGTATTAAAAGGCTCGCGCCCCGCTGTTGTCCATACAAATATATTTATACAAACCTTGTATAAAATAACAATAATTAAGAATATAAATTATAATCAATGGTATAAAAGGCAGGGGTGGGCAACTGGCGGCCCGCGAGCCTTTTTTAACTGGCTCGAGCTACATTTTCGAATTACATTATAAACAAAATAAATGCTAATTAAAATGTATATTTTGAATGACTCTTTTTTTTTGCTTTATATGCTCTGGCCTCTAGATTTTAATTTTCTAAAAATTGGCCCTCTAGTAACTTTGAGTTTCTCATCCCTGGTATAAGGTAATATTGTTGTTTAAAAATCAGAAGAACAGATTCGGATACCCATAATACCGATAGCCAGATGACTATAGAGGAAATTATATATAGAATTGGGTATTTATTTTAATATGTCGAGTGATGACGGTATGATGCAACTATGCAAGTATAATACATTTGGGGTGGGTCGATTTAATGCGAGTAGAGTGTAAATAAAGTCCTTAGACTTGAAGCGAATGGATAAAATAAACTATAAAGGACTAAAGAAGCGTTACAATTAATTAAAATATTCGAATACCGCACTGGCTGTAATTCGGATTCGTAAACTATTTGGAAACGAAGAGAGGAATTTTCAGACCAACATTTAATGAATTTATGTTAAATATTATTTTGTAGCAGCTGAATATTTATGGTTTTCGTGCGTGTATAGCCATCACGAAAATATTATGTACCTATACCTAGTGTATAATAAATAAATAGGAAGTTTTGGGATTTAGAGCTATTATTATACACATAGGTAAATAGTATAATATTATTATGGTATAAATCCAATTGTCGAATGTCATACATTATTAATTATTATAAATAATAATTTATGCCCGCACCCATACCATTCATTGACGGACAATACAAACAGTCGTGTGTGTATCAAAAATTAAAAATATGAAAACCACACATTTATATAATGAATGCGTTGACACGACGATTAATAACTATAATATTATTATGATGCATAATATTAAAACATTTTTTTTTCCTAGAGTGTTTAACTACACACCATGTTTACAAAATAGACACGTCATAAATTATGCAAATGATTTTATTCGATTTAATATATATTTCGACATGCGCGTATTATGATTCATAATATTATGAAAAAAAAAATTGCTAGTAGGTATAACTTATAATTTAATCGTTTGATAAACGATCGAAACGATCGAAAGTCTATATCAAGCTTAGTAGAAGAATCCTTATGGTTCCGAAAAAATCGTGAGCGAAAAGTGTTCAATACTTATTTCAGTTTTTTTTTTCTGAATGTGCAAACTTTTAGGCAGGCCAATTTTGACATTTCACCTGGCCATTAAAAAAAATATATTTGTATGTATAAATGTAGGTAACCTATGCTAACTTATGTACATATTCTTTCTTTCCCTTTTATGACTCTAATTGAACTCATAACGACTACTGCAACTTTAAATAGCTAGCAATAAAAGAATTAAAACTTATATAAGCAATTAAGGCAACCAGCTAAAGCCATTTCATTTGAAAAAAGGTAAATAAGGTGTAATCAATAAACCCGATAAACCAAAAATAAACAAAAACTTTAAAAAAATGTACATTTTATTTATATTACCTATGATTGGGCCGGGAACGTACAAAAATAGTCCGTGGTGCCCGGTCACCAGATACTTCGTACGCTCACTCACACACCGACCGACCTGTGTATGTGTGTATACATGTAATAGCAATTCGATCGAAGTGGACGGGTTCGCCGAGCAAAACTATCGAATGCTAGTGTGTGGTGGGTGTGTAAATGTGTATATATGTGGGTGTGTATACAATAAAACAATAA